CAAACTATCGGCCAGCTATCGATTAGATGATTGCTTGATGATATTTGGTTTATATTTTTGATTTTGACCAGTGATATATAATATACTAATCTGCTCTAATATTTTTTAATACTCTTTAGATATACAGCTATTTAATCTAGTTAGCTAAACTTATACAATTAATATTTATACTTTATTATTATATTAATCTACACAAATTGTTAACTATATAGTTTACGTTTATATAACATCTGCTACATATATACTAATAATTAGTGCGAACAAACTACAGTTGACTATCTATAAGTGTGCCCTCTATAAACATATAATATGATCAGTTTAATATATTTTATATATAGATTACTTTATAAGTTACTTTTTTTAACAACTAAATTTATAAAAAAATTAACTAAAAATAACTATAAATTTGACATTTCAACATAAATTTTATTTAAATTGATCTTGTAAAATTTAAATTGAAAAATCAGCCAGATCATGACAATTTTTATATTTATGGCTATTATAAATTCAAGATCACTAAATATATGATGATATTATATTCATAGTGAATCTAATTCAATCATAAAAAAAAAATCATACTTTTACAATTATATATGATCATAAACTCATAAATTAGAATACAAGCAACATAAATACCTCTCCATTATTTAGCTTTTTGCACTCAATATAACAAACAATATAAATTCATAAATTTCATCATAAACAGCCAAATACCTATCTACTACACAATACCTCACAACTATTCTTTTAAAGAGCAGTTTTAAGAATCATAATACTATGATTTACATATAGTATATTGATACTTATTTTTTTTTTTTGACTCTGGTTCTAATCTTTCATCTTGATTACTTGAATGAATATATTTGCTATTACGATTCTCAATTGTAGATAAATATCTTTTGCCAGCAAGATGTCTTTTGCCTTTATATTAAAAAGGATTAGTAATTTTAAACTGATCAACTCCTTGATCTAACTCTTACTCTGATAACTCTTGTATATTATTTTTACCCTGTAATAAAATCTAATTACTAATAAATTGTTATAAAAAGTTTTTAAAAGCCTTATTTGTACTATTTGTAATCGCTAGATCTAATGCCTTTTTACAAAACCCAAAACTACAACTATAAGAAACCTTCTTTGAATTTAATTTTACAGCAATTCTATTATCAACATCTTGTCTACAAATTTTCTCTAATGTTTAAAATATTCCAGTAAAAATTTGACTATCTTTATTTTGTACTACAAAGAGTGACAAAAATATTTCCACACTTAAGGACTTGGCTTATAACTCAAAAACTTACTAATTAACCTATGTCCTTGAATTG